ATTGCAAAATTTCCTAAATATAGCCTATAACTGTATTTGTACAGTTCTTTCCTGCAACCTTGTATTTCTAATGTGCAGCTGCCCTATACATGCTCTAATGTTCACCCACAGTTGTCTGAAGATCCTCTGTTTTGCTACTTTATGTGGCCACATCTGACAAATCTATCTGGCCAACTTCTAGTAGCAAATGCTTAAATGTTCAAGCATACTGTTACATACTAAAGGGAATGGTCACAGTTTTACAACAGTGTAGCACTGTTTACCAATCACACCATGAACTGAACCTCACATTACAGCAGTGACATGCTCTTATACCAGTCGTCAAGACTACAAAGATGGCAGTAACCGAATATCCATTATAACATTACAGGATGAACTGGTCAACTGAAACACAAAACACCATCCTTGTTGGAATTCCAAAACATGGAAAATGCATGTTTGCATAATTTTGGGCTTTGACTAAAATGTTCAAACAAAGCAAAAACCTGTGAAATTAACTGTAGATTAAAAAAAGATTAGAATTAACAAAAGCTAACAAAACCACAAGGAATGCTGGGGAGCTCCACCCCCTTCACTACAATATTCAGAGATAGGCTGTTTAAGATTGTGCAAAGTACTGGTCACTTTCCCAAAATGCTGTGAAATCCAACCATTCAACCTCTTAGACAAGAAGTTTGACCTGTTTGTCCCAGAATGCACCACCTGCTTTGGTGCAATCTGAGGTATTCAAGGAATATAGTTGATTACTGCAGTGTCGCTGCTGCTCATCCATTCATATATATTCATATGCAGTTATTCATATAGTACAGAAATTAAGCTCTGCAATACTTTGCCCAAAAGTGATGCTGAAAACTGCCTTAATAAGCTGGTTATGCAAGTCCCTCTCCATATCTCTGTCTGTCTGTCTCTCTCTTTCTCTCTCGCTCTCTGAGAATGAATAACAACTCCCCTAAGCTAGACACTGACCTTGACATTAAGTGGTTACATATGAAAAAAAAACAGCACTTTCTGATTCTCTTATTTCTATGTGTCGTGTCTAAAGAAGAAGAAACAACAATGAGTTTTTATATTTTCTCCATTATGGAAATTTGGCTGGTTATGTTTTCTATGCTGAACAGAAGACGCTGTCATTATATCACACCATTTTATAGCGTTATAACGGTTAATCTAATATCGCTACAAGGAAGGCAGTGACGTGAGATATTAAGGTGTCAACCTTCAAAGAGCAAAAATTGGATTTACACCCAGCTGGCGTTTTTGCAACTACGTTTGAGCACGCTTCCCTGCCGAGCTTGTCATAAAATACTAATGGACTTCAGCAAGGTAATTACACCAAGTGTTTCCATTGCTACCTGTGCCTGCAAGTGTGGCCTAGACACCAACCACAGCATTGGATTACCACAGTGAGTCACTCGCCGCGATGCTGGTCCTTCACTCTGGATCTAGTCTTTAATGAGTCACTCAATATGCTACCCATTGTGCCTAACATGAGAGCTTTGAATTTGAGCCTTAGTGCTAATGACAACTTTGAGGGCCCTGCTGTGAACGCTTGAATTTATCACAGAGTCACAAAGACTGGCTTCACAAAAAAAAGAAGAAAAAACCCTACTTGACTCTGGAGTTCCTCTGGTTCGGCTTGACCTTATTATCTGTATTTATGTCAGCTGTGCTCTGTGTCACGCGGTGCTGGAGAAACTAATGAAACCGTAAGGGGTGCTGAGGCCCAATTCCCCTTGTCTGCTATTGTTTCCCGTTCAGGTCTCATCGCGCCGGGGACGAGAGTGTGTGTGACATCCAGCCAGCGCTCGTTTCTGTAGCGAAGCCTCTCTGTAGAGAAGAAACTACGGTGCTGACAGGGGAAGCTCCAACTGCACTTATGCGACAAAGAACAAAATGGGAAAAGCATGAGGAAAAACAAATTCAGACTTTTGTTTAGCAGTAGGTAGAGTTTTTATGCCATGTTTCTAAAAATAAGAGTGCCAAAAAGATTCTTTGGAACAGTGCCATACAAGAACTACTTTTGGTTCCCTAAAAAAACTTTCAACTGATGGGATTTTGTAGGTGTTCTTCAATTGCACAAACCTTTGGCACTACAAAACTGGAACTGGCTATAAATCTAGTATTTAAGGTTCCAGTTTTATTGTTTTGGGTACCTGCTCAAGATTGGTATCGACAGGACCTGATGGTACTTTTCTGTCTTACCAGAACACGTCTTTCTTTTGGGGCTGGGATTTCTAAATCACCTAAAATGTCCAGGATTGGCTTTGCTTTCCCCAGTGTCTTCTTTTTGGACACCTGAAATATGGTCATTCTACCCTGCTAGAAAAAAAAACCAGCAAAACCAGCATAGGTTGTGTTTTTGATGCTGGTATGCTGGTCAGCAGCAATGGAAGGTGTTACACTGATCACTACCAAACTAGCATATGTTGTGGTTTGGATGCTGGTCAACTAGCATGACCATCAGCACCAAACCAGCACCTGATCAGCATAAACAAGTTTAGACCAGCAGGGAATTCACTGTAGAAAAGCTGTTTTCCTCTGCAGGGTAGCCTTTGGTGACACCTGCAGCTGAAGACAATGGCAATTTAGCGAATTGTTTACTCTTCCAAGTAAAGATAAAGTCACCAAGCACTAATACGTGACCAAGAGGTTCACCAGAATGTAAACTAGATTGGTACGTTGATGTGTCAATTGCTGTTTCTAGAATTATTACTTCGTAAAGTGTTTGCTAAGATAAGCTAGTTAGAAAACTAACACCAAAACTATTAGCATTTAGCCTCCACAGAAGTAATGTTTTGGTCATATTTTTACACTTGACAGAGAAAAAAACTTGTTTATATGATCCTACACACCTATAATGTCTGTATAATTGCAGATATTGGTGTGAGTGATAGCTCAGAAAAGTATATCATGTCAACATAACTTGTGTGAAGATAAGATAACTAGCACTCAAGATAGCCAAAGCATTAGTTCACTTACTCATAGGCTAATTTTCTAATTTGCTAATTGCCCAAATTAGATGCTTTAGAGTGGCATAAAATGACCAAAAAGAACTAGAACAAAAGCCATAAGTTTCATTTGTTCCAGTTTGAGTCAGTTCTTGCATTTGTGCAGATGAAAAGCAACCTAAAGGACATGGTTTTGATAATAACATGAGCGAATGTGAAGAACCTTTTTAACGTTACACATAATGTAAAGTTTTTACACTAAGTAAAGGTTTTTCCTAGAAACACTCAAGCCAAGACTGATCTAGAAACCTTTGTTTTTAAGAACATAGCTGGCCAGTGTTAATGTATTGTATTCGTCCTTATCACAGCACATGGTCAGATGAAGCCACTCATACACCATAACGGATTTAGTAAGTTTTTTTTTACTTAAAATCTGCCCACACAGCATAACAGTACATTTACATCGTGCAACCTACTCAAAGAGCATAGTTCACCTACAGTAGTGATTATACACCATTTCTGCCATTATGAAGAGGGATACAGTAAGATGATGAAACATAATGAGGTGCGTAACTTGTAAACACATTCCTGCAGACTTGCTGCAGCAGACATTAAGTTACAGGAAATGATTTCTCAATTTTTTAGACATTCACTAATGAGTCCTTGCTCCAAGTCTACTTGCTGGATGGACAGAAAGTTCATCATGGGGCTTAATACAAAGAGTCGTCTGGACCAAATTGACCTCCATTACGTAAACACCTTGACACAATGCTAACGTAACGCTCGGACCCTTGAACTATAAGTTACTCTTGGAACAAGTAAACATTTGTGAACATGTCTTAAACTGAAATGAAGTACCGAATGCCAAAGATCTCATCCACAAAGCACTTTAGTGTTCACCATTTTACCATACAGTTACATTTTAGTATTGCACATGACTCACATCAACTAATGTAGCAACAAATCATGTAGTTTCCTATTGAGATGAAGGCGTCAGAGACTCTGAACAACATAGTCAACCAGGCAACCTTGTTCTAGGTAAGAGTGTAATCTTCTTAACACAGATATGGTCATAACAGTAATGGATCCATTACACATTCACCAGGACTCATACATCATCGTTGATTCCCACCTCTGCATTCATCTTTAATGGCCATCTGTTCCATTTGTCTTGGTATTTCGCTGTCAGTGTTTAGTAATAGAAAAGCAAGTTTTGAGGAGCTCAGGCACCAAGGAACAGAATACGTATTCATTAAGACAATCACGGAACAGCCATCTCATAATTGACCATCTGCCCTCTTGTTTTGGAACAACCCTGGACATAATGCAACACCACATGAATAAAGTAAGGCTTATGGGACGTGGAATGGGAAGCGAGAGTGAAATAGCTGAAACAGATGTAGGTCCTTCTACAATTTACCAGAGCCTGATTATACAGAATCTCACTGGAGTCTATCATTCAATGATAAATAAATTAACTATACATTTCCCATTCTAGTTTTATAATTTAACTATACATTTATAATTTTAGCATGGCCTCTGGCCTTTAGGCCTAAGACCTCAGGGTAAAACTGGAAACGAGTCAGCTTCACAGACAATGTGTCCCATTGTATTGCATTTTTTTGCCCAGCAGAAGTCACCAGTTTCGATTCCGCTTCACATATATAGACTGTTCATTTTGCAGATGTTTCTGTCATGGTTAAAGCTCCCTCGCGTAAACACATTCTCTTTATCTCATGATCATTCTAATAGTCAAGGTCCTTAAGTGAAACACATTTACTGGGAAAGCAAACCAAGAAAATGCAACAAAATTCCCAAAAGTCACTTGCAAATTCACTGAAGTTGTCGCTACAGATGTATAATTTGCTCGTGCTTGAAATAGCCACAGGGAGCTGGATACAGAGGCCATCCAAGCATCAGTCTTTGGAGGATGGCATGGCCTGTCATAAGGATTATCCCTCTCAAAAGAAACAGTGCAACTGTTCTGTCTGCTGCCCGGCGCAGCAGGAGGGCTTTCTTCCAGAGTTCTAATCCCAAATCCCTTCCCCCCTCATGTCCAGATGCTTGTTCTGGCACTGAGGGTTGTGACATGGACTGCATTTTAGAGCAGGCTAGCCTCACAGTGAGGTTCCCCTGTGATCTGACAGAGGAAAGGAATGTTTCAGTTTTTGTTTAGGCTAGGGGTTTCTATGACGTTGTTGCCTGGACAAAGTCTCGGACAGCCCAGAAGGATGGCGAAAGCCCTGCGGAAGTCTGCGTTGAAGGCATAGATGATGGGATTGAGGGAAGAGTTTGCCCACCCGAACCAGACGAAGATGTCAAAGGTGGTGGGGCTGATGCACGGAAGGCTGTGCTCACAAAACGGCACCATGCAGTTGAGGATGAAGAAGGGTAGCCAGCAGCACACAAACACCCCCATTATAACTGACAAGGTCTTTAACACCTTGGTTTCCCTTTTGAAGGACAGCTTGAAGGAGCTCTCCGAGTCCATGTTGGAGTTGCTGCCCATGCTGTTGTGACGTATCTTGGCATTCTCGGCGGCCCTCTCCAGCGCCGAGATCCTCCTGATCTGCTTCTGGGCAATTCTGTAAATTTGAGTGTAGGTCACGATCATGATGGCCACAGGGATGTAGAAGCTGACGAGGGAGGAGGAGATGGCGTAGGTCCGGTTGAGGCTGGAATCGCAGTTGTCCATGAGAGGCACTCCTCTAGAGGCGTTAGGCAAGGAGAAGCCCGTTGGCTGAGCCTTGTGCCAGTTCAGCTGCACTGGTATGAAGGAAATGAGCACGGAAAGCGTCCAAGCCACGCTGATCATCACAAATGCCACCCTGGGAGTCATCTTCCTCTCATAGCGGAAGGGGCTGGAAATGGCCCAGTACCGGTCCACACTGATAACGCAAAGGTTGAGGATGGACGCCGTGGAGCACATGATATCAAAAGCCACCCAGATGTCACAGAAGGATCCAAATGGCCAGAAACCAGCAATTTCCGTCACAGCCTTCCAAGGCATGACCAGGATGGCCACCAGGAGGTCTGACACGGCCAGCGAGATGACAAAGAAGTTGGTGACTTTGGAGCGGAGGTGACGAAATTTGGTGACTGCCGCACACACCAGCGTGTTGCCCAGCAGCGTGGACAGAATGAGGAGGGACAGAAAGCAGCCAGTGAGAACTCGCGTCGATTGGTCGCTCTCCAACAAACCACTGTCAATCACGGTTAAGTTCAAATCCATCACTGCCAGTTTTTGTCCCCTTCCAGAAATCACAGCATCTCACGAGGCAGGAGTCCACAGGAAGAAAGAGAGCAAAGCCAGCGAGATGTTGAGCTCACTGTCACCTCCATCTGAGCAACTGAGGGTTTAGTTTATTATTCGCATAGGCAAAATTTCATTGGTTGGAGACAATTAGATGTGTCTATAATGTGTCCAAATTGGGGTCTAGTCTGCAGGGGTCACTCAAGTATGTGAAGGCATTACTTACATATTATTAATATACAAATAAATGCAAGTCTGGTCCATCATTATTAGAAAATTTCATGTCAATGCCAGTGTAAGCAGTGTCAGTAAATTATAAATAACACTATTATCATTATTATTATTGTTATTATTATTATTATTATTATTATTATTATTACTTTTACTGCTACTATTTCTTGCAAGTTCCCAATACCACACTTCCTATTTACCCACTCCCCCTAAATTTTGCCTCCTAACGTGTTTTCTTTTTTACTCCTGCATCAGTGCGATGAGAAGCCATCAGCTCTTGCATAACCGCGCTGTTTTTTAATCCAAAGACGGTCCATATTCATTCATATTCATAAAAAGTCGATAAACCGATGTAAACCTCACCGTTTCCAGCATTTGCCTATTAGCGAAAAATAAATGTATTCCAGGCATGAGAACTTATTTCTCAGGCGCGTGCAGACCCCCGGTCTGGTCCCCGTGTCCACTCACCGGGGCAGATGAGCGCTGCCTTCATGTGCTTCTCTCCGTCCTTTGCTCTCTTCCAGAACCCGTCCATCCGCACATACCTTTCGTGCCACCGCGCGCGCTTTAAATGCAAAGTGAATAAAATAACTTTAAAGAGAACCGATGACTCATGATTTCAACTCTCTCAGAAGCCTCGATGAGATCTCGTCTTCTCGTGTTCAGGTCAGCTCTGATCCCCTCGTGCGCTCAGCGCGTGTGTAGCTCGGCTCTGCGCCCCCGTTTCCCCCGCCGTGTCCCGCCGAGGCTACATTACACTCCGAGCTGTCTCTTCTGCACGACTGCATGAGCTCCTCGCTTCAGCTTTCATCCAGCTGCAGAACCACAGGCTGGCGATGACGAAAGCCCCCCCCCACACACACACACACACACTACTTCTCTCAGGGTTACACTGACTTTCAGCTTGTCTTACTCTCTTTCTCTAATGACGGACTCTTTATTATTTGAGAAGTTGGTCAGGTTCCAGACCTTTCAGAGCAGAGCTGCTGTTGTTGTTGTGTGATACTGTGACACTGTGTCATTCAGCTCTTTTGGGTTAACGCAGCCCAGAGCTGTCCAACACACATTGCTGCCTGCTTTTCCACAGTCTGTCAGCCTTTGTGGATGTGTCTCTGTATTTATTTGTATTGTTTGTTTACTGTTTTTATTCTGTAATATTCATTAATGTTTGCACCAATTCCACCAAGACAGGTTCATAGTGCATGGCCAATACAGCCATACCGATTCTCACTGGGGTTCAGCCCATCATTGGTTCCTTTTCCAAGCATGTATTTTTAATGTATGACTTACATTCTGTTAAGTTTAGTGAACTCAAGATTTTAAGGCAGCCCGGTTGCTTACTTAAAACACCATATTTTTACAGTGCACTGAAAAAAAGCTTGGAAAAAAAATCAGACCACACAAACAGACCACATAATAATCTGGATTCTGTTGTATTCCATGCATGTGATGAACACACACTAAAGTCTGTGTTACCTCAGTAGTACAGCTGTTGATGCATAGATCTACACAGAAATCATTCATAACATGCTAATTTTTGGAGGAAAACCATAGAAGAACTGCTTTTGGTTCCCTAAAGAATCTCTCAATGATTTGTGTGTGTGTGTGTGTGTGTGTGTGTGTTTGTAGGAATGAGATGCACAGGTTTGAAGACCCTTTGTACCCTTTAAAGACCCTTTTAAAGAACCTCCACATGACAAGACTCTACACCAGTTGATGATTTTTTCCTAGAAGCAAACATTAAAGCCAACAACAAAGGTATTGTTTTTATTTGTTTATTTATTTATTTTAAGTTTTTAAAACTGTGACACTGTCATTTAGTTCTTTTGGGCTAATGCAACCTAAAGCTTTCCAAAACACACTGCTACCTGCTTTTCCATTCTCTGCCAGCCTTCCTGGCTGTGTCTTTGTATTTATTTGTTTTAATTGTTTACATTTGTTTTGTATTGTTTATTAATGTCTGCACCAGTTCCACCAGGACCAATTCACAGTGTATGTCCAATAAATCAATATTGTCATTAGAGTTGAGTCCATTATACAATGGTTATTTTTTTAATACAGAGGGTCACTGTCACTTAAATGCAATATATCATCACTGTCACATGAAGAAAACAAACACAATCTCCATTTGTTTTTCTAATTTTCTGCATCATTTGTACACAGCAGTTGCGTTGTGAGAACAGATCTTGATGCACCAATAAAAGTGGTCCAAAATCAGTTGGAATAAAATCTGGCTAATAGATTTACATTAAAAGTTAAGAATGTTTTTGCCTTCTTCTGTAAAGTTATATTTGGCTTTGTTAGAACCATAATTATATTCAATATTGTGTAAAAGTCTTTTTTATCCAGCCAGGATTTGTTTATTTGCTCACTAATATCACAATAAATAAGGATAAAATTAATACAGTAAGTAGTGATTTTATGTAGGTCAATGTTTGCGATCAACCATTTCTAAACCTCACCTCAAGACAGTCTAGTGTTATTTGTAGTTATCATCAAGGTTAATCAATCTTGTTAAGCAATTCTAATGTTACATGGGGTTTTACAAGCAAAAATACACTCATCGCTCAGATTACTTTAAGCGATTTTCTTGGGTCATTAGGCACAGCCATATGCAAAAGTTTGAACACCCCCAGCCATATTATGTTTTTTTGGTTTTATAAGTGAAAACACATCCAGCGAACACAAATATGAGATTTATATGCACATTTTAGTACATAATTATCTATCTCTATATTTGTTTGCTTTATTGTGTTTTTTTCCTCAATATGTTCAATTCAGCAAATAAACAGTAACTGTGTACTGAAACATTCAGTACAGTCCTGCTCATTTTACTGCTGAAATGAGCTGAGTCATCTGAGAAGCTAAAGGGTCAGATGTCACCCAAGTGGCTGAATTCATCACTGACATGGAGAACAGATGACCAATGTTTAGTTTTGTTTTCATAAAAATCAAAGCAGCATTCTCCTCTATAGAAAGACATGGAGTTCATCACTGCCCCCCTCCCCTGCCCCCCAAAAACATTTATCTCCAAAATACTAACTTTTTAAAAAAAATTTGAAATGGGGAAGTCACAAAAAAATCTAATGAATATAACAAGACTTTTCTGAGTAATTTTGGGTCATTTGTATTATTCCACTCATCATGGAACAATGAAAAGGGCAACTGCTGTGTTCAACATATGTATGAAAATAAAAATAGAAAAAAAATTACACAGTTTGGGTATGACAGTGCCGATCTGATCTTCAAGCATTGAGCTTTCTCTCTTCCTCATTTCTAACCACCTAAAATAACACGCTGATTTGAATTGCATGAACAAACTGAATTCCTCCAGTCAGATTGTCAGAGCCGAGTACGAGGTAAACACCTACAGTTCTCTCATCATTCTCCCCAAGACTTCTTGACTGAGAACTGAAATTGTTGATACTGCCAAACGACGGCAGATTATTATGACTGTTTCATTTCCTGCTGTAGGTTGATTTCAATGCGTCAAAGAGTTTGCATGGGCTGTGCATTCCTGTACCTACGCTATTCAGATGCATTAACTGCGATGTTCTTTATAAGACATAACATAAGTCACATTGTGATTCATAAAGCTCCTTCATTTACTTCAGTTTGCATGCATATATGTATTTATTATTTAATGCAACTCTATAATAAGCAGAGATGTAACAACTCACAAAATGCAGAAATCGATTTGATACGGTGATGTCTCAATTCAATATATTTGTTGATACAGCAAATTTAAGGAGTGCCTGGCAATGTGCTTTACATTAATATGTCAATATTTCCATATTTATTAGAGCATTCAACATCATAAAAGTACAATATTTGAAACAAAATGCCTCATAGTGTCTCAAACTAACAATCTCAATCTCTCAAAGTTTATTTGTTAGCCCAAAGCTAATGCACTAGCCACAAGCTAAGATGCCTTTAAATGATACAATACAATACAAAATGATACATCGCAGAACAATACAATATACCATGTTGTTACATTCCTGATATACACCGACCAGCCTCTTCATTAAAACCACCTCTATGTTTCTACACTGTTTGTCCATTTTATCAGCTCCACTTACTATATAGGTGCACTTTGTAGTTCTACAATTACAGACTGTAGTCCATCTGTTTCTCTGCATACTTTGTTAGACCCCTTTTACCCTGTTCTTCAGTGCTCAGGACCCCCACAGGACCAAGACAGAGCAGGTATTATTTGAGTGGTGGATCATTCTCAGCACTGCAGTAACACTGACGTGGTGGTGGTGTGTTAGTGTGTGTTGTGCTGGTAAGAGTGGATCAGACACAGCAATGCTGCTGGAGTTTTTAAACACTGTGTCCACTCACTGTCCGCTCTATTAGACACTTCTATCTTGTCAGTCCACCTTGTAGATGTAATGACAGAAGCTCATCTGTTGCTGCACAGTTTGTGTTGGTCATCCTCTAGTCCTTCATCAGTGGTCACAGGACGCTGTCCACAGGACGCTGTTGGCTGGATATTTTTGGTTGGTGGACTATTCTCAGTCCAGCAGTGACACTGAGGTGTTTAAAAACTCTGATCCACTCGTACCTGTAGGGGTCCTGACCATTGAAGAACATAGTAAAAGAGGGCTAACTGCGTATGCAGAGAAACAGATTGACTACTGTCTGTAATTGCAGAACTACAGAGTGCAGCTATATGGTAAGTGGAGCTGATAAAATGGACCTGAGTGTAGATACAAGAAGGTGGTTTTAATGAAGTGACTGGTCAGTGTTTATATACACTGTGTTGTTACATTACTAGTATGTCATTCTGAGGGTTTTAAAACCATTGCTTTAACGAGGTTGCAAAACAAGTTTCCTGGTTGTTCTTCTTTTCGGTCTTTCTTTCAAAAGCTTTTTATCTGTGAACCTGATTCCAGTTGCACTGGTTGAGGTGAACAGAGGATAGTCAAGTCACATTTAACCAAAGTGCTGCACACTAGCTCATCCTCTTTCTCTTTTTAGCAGTGGTGTGCCTCAGGGCTATATTCTTGTCCCTTTTATGTTTTCTGTTTTCCACAAACTTGTTCACCTAAGAAAGTTCAAGTAAGATCTTCAGGTATCAAGAGGCATGGCAGTAAGTGACTGGTGCTGTAATAATAACACACTGCTGATAGATCTTACCTAAAATATAATAAAATAATAGTATATGATAAGCCAGCAAAGACAAGGACAACTGTACAATAAGATCATGGCAACTGGTGTCCACTAGCTCTTTTTGATTGTTAGTATTGTTGGTAGTTTACCACCACTAATGGCTACCCCTGATTCAGCACTTTTGGACTGATTACTGTCCATGCTGCACATGCAATGAATATGAGTGCATGGAGTGCATAAGCATAATGTATGGTATTGATTTGAAAAGAGTCTGGGTAAATGCTTGCATGTGTTGATTGCTTCCTGCGTTAGTACATTCACAGTTTTCATCTTCCATTGAAAACAAATGTCAACAACTCTGGAGGGTGATAAATAATACGAGTACAATAAGGATTGACGGTGCTGTATCCATGTGGATGAGATTATGTACCACATTCCAAGTACTGGAACAGTTTATAGTGAAAAATCTGGACAGTAACATGTCTGTGTTGTTTTGACTCATGGCTTTGGAGCTGACAGGACACAGAGTGTGGACGTAAAGCAGAAGGTTTGCAAACACAATGCCAGAGTGGTTAATTGTGAGATTTCATGATGGGCAGGTAATGTTTTGGGCCGGTTACTGTGGGCTAACCTGTACACCGCCA